TTCAACGTGGTAATACACGTGTGAGTCGCCTGTCACCGTTATGGTGCTACGTGACTAGTGCCAGTTGGTCTCAGTCGCCCAACCACACATCATGCATCTCGTCGAGTCTACAGAACGAAGTCATATCCGAGACAGCGAACAACATTTTAAAAGGCCATTGAGCAAAGTTTCATCAAAATTAATCACTAATTACTAGAGGATATAAACAGCAAGATGTACTCAACATTAGCCAGTCCAAAGAAAAAAACAAAAGAAGTCAAAAACATACACACCCCAGCTCCTAGCTAGAAACCCCATCATCTGTAAGCTACTACTGAGCTGGCTTCCTCCCAATGGTGACTGTGTACTTGACAAAAATTCCTTCCTCCGCCGATGACGTCTCAAGGCACTCCTTTGTCAATTTCGAAACATCTTGGTCAGAGTATAAGTCCCGCTTTGTCAAAATCTTTCTGAGAAGATCTGGGAATGCCTTGAGAAGAGTTCGTTGCGCATAACAACCGACTGCTGCGCTAGGAATATTCTTCTCAGACGGCACCATCGAGAACTCAAACGATCGCGTAAGAAGCACTTCGAGCCCGGCGGCTCTCATGTGATCCCCGACATGATCACCAACTAGAATATCCAGTCCCATAGCCTGCGACTCCTCTAGAACTGCTTGGTGCCAGGACCAATTCCCGCTGAGCTTTGTCTGTGTACCTTGGCGGTAGTACTCCCAGGAGCAATCCTGGTGCTCGACGATGGCACCGGGCTTCAAGAGGTGGTGGACGCGTAAAAAGTACTCTTTCCAGCCGTCAATCGCGAGGAACAGCATACGCCCGAACACGTAGTCCAAGCTTTGCTCCTGGAGCCCCTGCTCTGATAGGTCTTCCATGATGTTGCCTTTCAAAAAGGTGACATTGGTCGGAGCTGAGGCTTTGACATGGTCAGGGACTGCAGATAGATCAATCCCGTACGCACGGGAAGAAGGACATTGTCGTGCTAGCTGGGTCGTGGCCACCCCAGTTCCACAGCCTATGTCAAGGATTTTCGACTTGCTCGGGAGAAGTCTCAGATCGAAGAGAAAAGGCTTCCCACCCAGCATAGACTGAATGGCAAGGGCCTGCTCATCAAGACGAGCTTGCTCGGGAGTACTAGCATAGTAAGCTCATGTAAACCGAGACGTCTTGGCGGAGTCTCAGTAGTACTTACTCATTGGGTAAAACGTATGGAGAAGAAGTGTCATGATACGTGCGTTCGGCGTACTGCGATGATGTTGCCATGATGGATTTTTCTAAAACTTTTGCAAGTTTTCAAGAAAAGAATGTCTGATTGAATTGTTATTGTGTTCCGGTTAAATACCAGGTATGTTTAAACAGAAAGCAAATTACATGATAGATACTCATACCCCTTTGCAACTTATATAGATATCAGACTCCAGACTCCAGACTTTCTATCGACGGGGCCATTGAGGGGTAAATTGTGCTATTATTGCCATGTTAGTCGAAACCTTGTCCCAAAGTAGCGTTGTGCTATTTCGAAATGTTGAGCAATTACGCGGCAATCGAGGTAGATTATCCTCACTATCTGTCATGCGAGACCTGCTCTGAATAGCCTCGCTTTAAGTTTGATGGATTCTGCCATTATTGTAGGCCGTGTAGTTGAGGGGTAAGTCCTTTTTCACGGATGGCTCGAACCTTATACTGAATGCAGCGTTTTTTCAATACGAATCTGTTGAGTCATGAAGATAATCAATCTCACGATCTATTAACGATGAGAAGCCTTTGCAGCACGTGTGTGAATAGCTTCATTTTAAGTTTGAGACATGCCAGGGGGCCCAAGCAGTATAAAGATGCATTCGCTTGAATTTTGGAATATCTATTCCGCTGGATCGCCAGCGTTCGCTTGTGAGGGAGAGGGATAAGCGCGTAAGGTAGCGTCTTTTAGACTTCTCACGATACTGGGCAGAAAAATCAGATTTTAGACCGAAAATCAGTCCAGGTGCATCCAACGACAAGAAACTAAGAGCAACACAGTTCGCACCGCCAATTCTCCAAGGAATGTGGGTAAACTCATGATTGCGGCATCTTGTATGACTGGTGGAGTTCTCTCCGTGCACTTGACTTGAATAGCGGCGGCTGCGGTTGATCAACTTGTGAACAACATATCGTATAGAGACAAGATAAGCAATGATCCTCAATATTCCCGTAAGATATCCGAGTGCATGAATCGTGTCAAGGGAAGCCCTCTTGGGTCTTCGAGGGTTTCGAAGCTTGCAGCTGGCTGGGTTTCCAGAATGAATGGCGCCGAGCCCTTAAGACCTTGAGGACAGGAAGAACGAGGTTGAGGAGCGAGAATCGCAGTCTACGTGCTATGATTTCTTCGCATCCGAGTATGTATAAGTTGGACTACTTAAAACTAGACTGACATGCTTCACTCTTGCCGTCTCCATCACTCCTTGATACATCATCTTTCACCCAGCTGAGCATCGTCCACTCATCTCCGAGCTATCTTTTATCTGAGTCCTAGCCTGGGCTTATTCTACAATCATGTTGATGGGACATCTAAATCTTGTGTCCGGTCAATGGAAACATTTCCGGCAGCTGCTCGACTCGCATTCCCATGTCGTTGTAGACGGCCAGACTTTATCACTTTCCGACGTGGTGGCCGTCAGCCATTATCACGCCTCGGTCTCTTTAACATCGGATACCAACACCATCAACAAGGTCCATGAAAGCACCGCTCTGTTACGCTTGAAGCTTCGCCAAGGAGACACAATCTACGGCATCACAACAGGATTTGGCGGAAGTGCCGACGTGCGCACCTCTGACCATGAAGAACTGCAGAGAGGACTACTGCAGCTCCTCCAAGTCGGTATCCTTCTACCTTCCGACAAAGGATCAGATTTCTATGGCGAAAGTCATCTTGCAACGCAAGCCTGGAGAGAGCATGCCCTTCCTACCTCCATTGTCAGAGGAATGCTCCTCGTTCGGGTCAACTCTCTGCTGCGTGGCCATTCTGGTGTCCGTCTCGAGGTTCTAGAAGCTATGTTGACCCTGCTGGACAATCATGTCACTCCTATAGTCCCGCTGCGTGGCAGCATCTCAGCTTCTGGGGACTTGATACCTCTATCTTACATTGCTGGCGTTTTGGAGGGCAACTCGGACGTCTACGTTGCTGTCGGCGCGCAAAGACCAAAGTTCATGACTGCGAAAGAAGCCTTGGAAATGATCGGCCTGGAGCCGGTACGGTTCGAAGCCAAGGAAGCCCTGGGCATCACAAACGGTACTGCTACGAGCGCTGCAGCGGCCTGTATCGCCATGCACCAAGCTCATCAACTCGCCACGATGTCGCAGTTCCTTACCGCCATGGCAACCGAGGCGCTTCGAGGCCGGCAGTCGAACTACCACCCGTTCATATCCCAGTGTCGACCACATCTGGGACAGGTGGAGGCTGCGTCCAACATACTACGTTTTCTCTCTGGATCCAAGTTGACCAGAAAGGGAGACGACCATGCCGAAGGCCTCGTACAAGACCGATATCCTCTTCGAACCGCGCCCCAGTGGATCGGTCCCTTGCTTATGGACTTGATGTTAGCTCAACAGCAAGTACAAGTTGAGATCAACAGCACCACGGATAACCCCCTCTTTGACGTCGAAACCGGAACCGTACATCAAGGAGGCAACTTCCAAGCGCTGGCTGTCACTTCCGCCATGGAAAAGGTCTCGTCCTCCATGCAGCTATTGGGCAAACTCATGTTCGCCCAATGCACAGAGCTTCTCAACGCCAAGCTCAACGATTGCCTGCCGCCCAACCTCGCCGCCGACAACCCGAGCAAGTCTTTCACTACCAAGGGGTTGGACATCACCATGGCAGCGTACATGTCTGAGCTGGCCCACCTATCCCACCCTGTGTCCGCGCATATCCAGAGCGCCGAGATGAACAACCAGTCGGTCAACTCGCTCGCGTTGATCGCTGCCAGGAACGCGTTGGAGATGACCGAGATCTTGTGCCTCATGGTGGCAACGTACATATACGCCCTCTGTCAGGCTCTCGACCTGCAATGTCTCCATCTCGAATTTTGCAACGTAGCGAGGCCCGCGATGCTAGAAGTTGCTCGGAACTGTATCGGGTTTCCCAGAGCCGCCGATGGAGCGGACGACATTGCCCAGCGCTGTGGCGAGATCCTGCTCCAGAAGTGGAACGGCCTGGCCAACCTCGACGTGGAAGACCGAGGCCGAGCTGCTGCACGAGAAGCTAAGGGTGGACAACTCGAGGTCTTGGCCCCGTACTTCGAGAGTATGCGGCCTGAGGAGTTGATCGTTGCCATCAAGGCCATGGACGCTTATACCAAGCAGTCCGCCGAAAGAATCAGCCATGAGTATTGCAAGACACGCTTACGGTTTCTGGAGAACCCGAGCACAGGCGCATATCTCGGGGTTGCTTCAAAGGCAATCTACAAATATGTAAGGAAAACTCTGGGTGTCCCAATCCATCGCGGTTTACAAGACTATCCAACAACGTCGGGGACCAGCGGAAGCCCTGGTGAACCGGGGAAGAAGACCATCGGCACCTTGACCAGCGAGATCTACATTGCGTTGCGCAATGGGTCAATGCACGACTTGTTGATGTCGACAGTTTCTAGTTTAGACTCTAAGTAGGACCCTGAGCAATGTGAAGGATTATCTTGTTACCTCAATGGTTCTTCGCTAAAGAGCCACTCTAATCTCTTTTACGCCATTGAACAAATGCTTCATGGACCTAGTGCGCTACATGTGTGCAGGAGAACTTTTTGATATTACAGATTCTTATGTGGGCAACCGGCACGCCGGCCAGGCCATGATTTTATATAGTACATCGTAGAGTGGAAAACAGCTATAAGACAAGCCAAGAAGGTCCCTTTCCAGGTGTGGGTTTTCGTATCATCTTACACTTTGCACGTGCGCCGCGCCATCATACATCATTGAGTTTCTTTCTTCCCAACAGGACTTTCCCCCTCCCAAACAGAGTCATTGAAGTTGAATTTAGGCGTTCACGAAGCCCTTGACGTTGCTCAACCACCGGACATACTCGCGCTGCTCCTTGACGTCAATGTAGTCGGGCGCGAAGACGGCCAGGGCCTGGGTGATGCCGCGCTCCTCGAGGTAGCGCTCCATCAGGATCTGCAGGTCCTCGTCGAGGCTGCCGAAGGGGGGGCCAGGGTAGATGTCGCTGCGGGCGTGGGCGACCTCGGCGTTGGAGGCGTGAGCGAGCTTGCCGTCCTCGTAGTAGAACATGTTGTCGACGACGATGGCGCCGTCCTGAGCGGTGGCGTCGATGTTCAAGGCGCCGGGGGTCTTGCCGGGCTTCTCGACGACGATGCTCAGGCGGCAAGGGGGAGCGGCCTCGTCGAGGTCGCCCTCCTCCTCCTCGAGCTGCTCTTCGGCGTTGGCGGAGCGGGCGCCGCCGGATGACTGGACGCCAGACTGCTTGTTGGGGTTCTGGACGTCGGACTCGAATTCCTCGTCCTCGAGGGCGCGGTCCTGGTCGTACATCTCGGGATCGTAGTTGGCGAGGTCAGCGATGGAGAAAGTGATTGTGATCCTAAGGTTTTCCTGTTAGTTTCCCGTTTCACAGTGTCTGCTAGACGATGCTCGGAATGCAAACTTACTTCTCCTCGCCAAACTTGCGGGTGAGCTTGACCTCCTCCTTGCCAGGGGTGTCTTGGAGCTCAAAGGGGCTGTTGTCGATGAAGTCCTTAACGCTCGCGGGCAGCTGCTCGTTCTGCTTCACCTCCTCCTCGAACTGAAGCTCGCTCTCGAGCTTGGCGACGAGCTCAGCATCGGTCTCGCTGGCGGCAGATTTCCTGAAGGCAGAGCTGGAGAAGGCTGATGCGCCCTGGGTCTGAACGGCAGCGCTCCATGAGGCGGCCTTGATGAAGGCACTAGGGCGCGCAGTCTGTCTGAGAGAAAGGCGGGAGAGAGCTCTAGGCGCGGAGCGCGCGACGGATCTGATGGAAAGCATGATGGGGGGTGGACTGAGGTGTTGTGTTGAGAGGTCGTGATGGTCAAGGCAAGGGGAGGTGCAAAGGCTGGTTGGAGGAGGGTGGAGGTGGATTTGCTGGATCTGCCAGGTCGCAAAAAAGCTTTGGAGAGCTCCCAAAATTTTTGACATCAGATCACAATTCGGCGAAACCTTTTGCCGGGTGACACCGCACCAGCCGGGCGCTAGGTGGAGCGGAACCGCCAGGGACTGGACGGCAGGGACCATTCTGCAAACACTTTGCCAAATTCAGGCACCAGACGAAAACTCCACTGCATCTGGAATCGATCCACAGAAGCATCTTGATTTTGACGTTATCGATACGAAATCTGAGCTAAGCTTTAATAGGTAGCAACAGGATCCAGATGTACAGACACCCAGAATCCTCCGTGTGAAGGTGGACTCGTCTTCAAGAAACCGTCTTCATGTAACAGACATCAATGTGCAAGGAAATGGTAATAAATGTTTCTAGCTGGCCCACAGCTAGCCTACCAGAGAATGGTTCTATCGTTTCCACACTCCTCGTCCATACTGATTTCCCCCTTCCTTTATCCTACTCCTAGTGAAAACTGATGTGGCGTGACACTGATGATGGTCGAGGGATGCGACGGACCCTCTCTTTACACTTCCAACAGTGATTTCGGGTACAGCTGCGGTCACTACCTATACCGGCATCACAGCTTCCAAAGACTCCGTTCTTCTTGGCAAGGAAGCAGGGTCTTTCCGATATCAGGACCGTATCTTGGTGACTGCATACGTTGCAGACGCGGAGGTGTGTGACGTATTTGCACATGGCTTGCTAGGTGTCTATATAAGCATCTGTCTTTAGTGCATCAGACTGTAGGAGGTGGCTCACATTACTGAGAGGCTTAGCTCAACGATGGAAGGCTTATCGCAAGTATTGAGAAAGATTGAAACAGCTGGAAAGATTGGCGAGACGGCCTAGACAATGAGAATTGCAGCACTTGTAGAATATGACGCTCCAACGGTGATGAATGGGAGCGCGGAGACCCAGAGATTCGGCTCGATGATATACCCTTAGAGATGACCGAGCGATCCTGCGTGGCAGGGATCCCGCCCGAGATCCAGCTCATCGATCCAGCTCAACAAGAGCCCGGCCCCGGGCCGCCATCGTCGTTCAACAGCATGATGCCCTTCTTACTCTAAGCGCCTAGCAAAACCTTGCTCCTTTGTCCTGCGACATTCTCAGACGCTGTTCGATTCACAGCATCTCACCATTGTGAGAACAGCCTTGGATCGAGTAGAGTAGATGGGTCCATCCCGTCCACAAGACTCTGCAGGCGTGTTACCGTCGAAAGCCTCGCAGAGGAGTAGACCGGCGGTGTAATGTAGCACTTGGAACTCGAAGGGAAGCTGGGTTTAAGTATAAAGTGGGATAACGATTCGTTGACAAGGTGGTCCCAATGACCTGGTCTAGGAGGCTTGGGGCAGATGGGATGCATGATCTGGACCTCCTTGGCCAGTCGGGCATGGACAGACGACACTGTGGAAAGGCGTTGTGCAGTGAAGCTGTAAGGTTAGGATCTTTCGGTTCTCGGCATCATCGTGACTATTGGCGTGCAACATGTAACTTCAATGGTTGGGCGATCTGGGGCGAAGATGATCATATAATACTAGGCTACAAGGATCTCAGGTAGGGTTTGCCGAGCCTCACCCAAAGTTTCGGAAGTAACTGTTTCATACAAGAACCGCCACGTTGGCTCTTCATATGACGCTGCTTCGATCTCTGCCGCCCGCCTCTTTCGCAACCCCCCTCCGAAGAACCATCGGTATGGCGCGCGATTCCTATGAACCCACATGCTCTCCACGTTTGGGGCCCCTTTGCCGAATCCCCCTTTGTGTAACGGCACAGGAGAATTATGGCTCAGACGCTGACGAGCCAGTGATTTGGCTATGCGTGGTCTGCTGTGATCCGAGCATTGGGCCTTTCGCACCTCAACATGCACGGTTGCTGTATGTAACCGGAGAAATTTGTCTGTTGGCCAAACAAGAACTCCGATACAGTGCCTGAACTGTCTGAAACATTGCCCGCGAAAAGTCCGCCCTTCTATAGTGGCACCGTACGAGGAGCCGGATACAGAAATTGGAGCTGATGGTTAACCCCCCATCCTTTCTCCCGGTGAAATCGATGATGCTGCGTCAAGGCCTAGCGGGCTCGTGGCCTCATGTTTTCCCCAAACGCCGAAAAAGAAAACGCCATGATCGTGCTGTAAAATGCCAAAAACTAAACCCTGGGAGGGAAGCTGGATGGTCTGACGTTCCCGTCACTCGTGATCTTGACCCAGGCGAGGTTGGTGAGGTAAGCCCATGAACCCTCCCAGCGGTCGAGTTGGATGATGTTGGACGACGTTGTGAGGTCAGGAAGGTCTACAAAGATGTTAGAATGCCGCAAAAGAAAGACACCTTGTTGGGAGCCAACTGACAGAATCCGATCTTGTACTCTTCTTCAAGGTTAGAGATTCTCAGCTTGAGCAAGTCTTCCTTGGCACTTGCAGGGCGGCCGGCACGGCGGGTCTTCTTAACCTCGGCGTACTCCTCATCGTACTGGTGCACAAACCTGGCAACGTGTCAGTGTTTGCTCAACATATGTGGGCTGTTCGGCTTCTGCGACGTACTTGCTGATGAGCTCCTGAACGGCGGCCAAGTCGAGGGGTTCGGATCCCTTCTCCTGAATTGCCTTTTGGAAAAAGGAGGCACGGTCGACTACCAAATGTCAGTTGACAAGTCTCGATGTATTTTGGACAGTGATATCTTACTCATAGGCTGCTCCTTCTTGTTCTTTGAGGCGTGGAGCTTTCCTAGCCTTTGGTCTCTGATCGAGGCCTTGTGAAGACGCTTGGAGTCTCTGGAAAACTCATGAAGGGCTAGGTCATGGCCATTGCGCTTCTTCGCAATGTGCTTGCGAGCCTTTTCTAATGTTGAGGGCATCTTGACGGTACTGGAAAACAGAGCGAGTGAGACCGGTTCAGTACACAGTAAGATTGGTATCTGAAGTCAATGATTCCCAGACTTGAACAAGACGCAGAATGAGATTTGCGATGGCACTGGTTCTGTGAAAGTCGGTCTGTGCCCCACCCGATGAAAATCCCATCCGAGTCTGCAGGTGCGTTTGCTGTGTGCAGGGACATTGGTCGAAAAGACTCAATACCTGCTGTCTCCACTCTAACCCCAGGAAGGGTCCAATGGCCTTCAACCAAACCCGGGCAGAGTGACGTTGCTCTGGATATCCCAATCTACGCACGCTAATCCTTTTTGGGGGCATATTTCTAAGCATGGTCCCTGCGTAAAAATGAAGATTTTGAAAGAAAAAGACAGAGAGAGAAAGAGAACTGGGAGTCGCGATATGAGTCTGACGCGGTGCGGTGTGTCCACCCGCGTTCCAATATAGCAGGCCCAGGTCCCCCCGGGCGATTCCACCGTCCCTTTCCCGTGCAGGAAGCCGTGATTCACTCCACCTGCACACTTTCGCTCCTCCGATCTCAGCATCGTGGTGAATTTCTGTCGACCTCGCCTTTTCCCCTCTTCCAGTTCTCCAACCTGTCGTCGCGTTTCCTCCGTACAAGTGGCATTTCCGAACTCGTCAACGTAGCGCCCGAGTGCTTTGTTTACATTTGCCCCCGGATCACCTGACTTGGCGTCCCGACTTCCACTTCTTACGCGAACGACTTGCCCACGCGTCATTCTCTCTCAACGAATGGACTGAGCATTGATCTCCCTTTGTCGACCCCGGCTTCTGGCCTGTGAATCGGACTGGAGAGACACGTAGGCAACCTTCAGGAAATATTGACTTGCCAACCTTTGAGGACCTGCGAACACTTCTCGCGATCAACAATGGGCGTCTCAGGTACATTTCCTCCCTTGCTTCCCGCCTGGCGAACCTCCTTGCTCACCAAGAACCCCTAGGCCTGCTTCCGTTGCTCAAGTCCATCCACAGGCCAACCGAGTTGAAGAAATTCGCTGGCGAGACGCTCGGCGTCGACGCTTACGGATGGCTTCACAGAGGAGCCATTGCCTGCGCTGTTGATCTGGCCAAAGGCAACCCCACCCGCAAGTAAGTGGCCCTAGCAATGCGCTGTGCATGGCGCGCTTCCCAAGACGCAACCAAAGGTTTGTATGCCTAACCTTGCCTCAGATATGTCGACTTCGCCATGCACCGGGTGAGGATGCTCAAGCATTTCGGCGTCACACCATACATTGTCTTTGATGGCGACTTCCTTCCCAGCAAAGCCGCCACCGAGGGATCCCGCGCTAAACGTCGTGAAGAGAGCAAGAAGTCTGCCATGGAGCTTCTCAGAGCCGGAAAGTCATCACAAGCAGCCCTCGAGTTTCAGAAGGCCATTGATGTCACACCAGAGATGGCTCGCAATCTCATTGACGAATTAAAAAAGATGAATATCTCGTACGTCGTCGCACCGTACGAGGCTGATGCTCAGCTTGTTTACCTCGAACGCCAAGGCCTCATTAACGGCATTCTATCGGAGGACTCGGATCTTTTGGTTTTTGGTTGCAAGCGGCTCCTCACGAAACTTGACCAGTACGGCAACTGTATCGAGATCAACCGGAGGGATTTCTGTGCGGTTCGAGAGGTTTCTCTTACGGGGTGGACGGATGACGATTTTCGCCGAATGGCCATTCTCAGTGGGTGCGACTATCTCGAGGGCATCAACAATATGGGCCTCAAGACGGCCTACCGGATGATTCGCAAGTACAAGACCATCGATCGACTGGTCCGGATGATCCAGTTCGAGGGCAAGCATCGCGTTTCAGAGAATTACATGTCTCGGTTTGCCCAGGCAGAGCTGACATTCATCCACCAAAGAGTCTATTGCCCGAAAGCGAAACGGTTGGTATGTTTAACAGAACCAGAGGAAGGCAAGGGTGTGGAGGATATGCCGTTCATTGGTGGTTACGTCGAGCCGGCCATGGCTACGGCAATTGCACTCGGAGATGTCAACCCCATCACCAAGGAGACCATCATCCCCGCGCCCATGCCTGGCTCCAAGACCGATACGAAGAGAAGACATTCTCAGTCTGCAGAGGCCCTTGCGGCTGTCTCTTCATCATCGACTCGCACGCGACAACCGACCAAGCCGATTGATTCGTACTTCAAGGGCCACCAGCGTATTCCGATGGGTGAAATGGACCGCAACTGTTTCTCTGTCGACCCAGAGAGAGTTGCCGCTCTTACTCACAATGGCCTGGTACCCAGAGTCTTTCCCCTTCCTAGACCATATGTCGATGGCACTTCATCATCACAGCCTACCACCAGCTCTCGCCCGACACGAACCGCCCGTTCAAATACCTCCCCTCGCCTCTTACGACGACGGACCGAGCCCATCCAGGACTTGCTGCAGCAACATACTCCTAGCAGCTCTGACGGAACCCGTCGTATCACCGTCGGTGACGCGACAAATACTATAGACGACATTGATGCACTGATGAGAGGCGGTTCCCAACGGCCTCCCAAGAAGGTCCGTCTCTGTGCAGACACAGATATTACCGAAACGAAAACTGAGGAATCCCAAAAGAGCAAGTTCTTCTCCAAGAACGGAACCTCCACCAACAAGAACAAGGACAGTTTCCTATTCTCAGACGACTCCATCGACGAGGCGCTACTGAATCTCCCTGACATTGATGGGTGGCATGCCCCGAAGCCCAAGTCAATCGCGGTCTACGAAGAGAGTCAGAGCACGGATACAGGTACGGAAGCAACTGCCGGTACGGACAGCCAGTTCAGCAAGGACGGAGAAATATCAGCCACGCCACAGACCGATCTGTCCGAAGTAGAAGACGTCGAGCCAAGCAAGCCTGTCTCGTCGCTCCCAGAGAAGGACATAAGACGGACGTCATTACAGCGATTTGCCTTCAGCTCTCAGCCCAGCCCTGCCGCCTCAAGCCAGCCCGACACGCCGAGCACCATTGCCTCCCATCATTCATCGACTTTCACACCCTCGACTGCTGCTCCCTCCACTGCGGCATCCTCGATCACATTTTCGGCTAGCTCAATCGCAGCTGGCACGTCAAAGGCCACTCCTCTTCTCACCCCGCTACAGCGGATGGGAGCCCGTGCCCTCCAGCGCAAGAACCCGCCTGCCCGGCGGCCCCTGTCTCCTACTAAGAGCACGATACAGCGGAGCCCCAAGCGCAGTCCCCGGAAGAGCCGGCTACTCAAGTCATTCCCCGTCAACCCGTCGTTTGTGCCTCTGCCCAAAGTCGATCTGGCCGAGGTGGAGGCTCTGAACGCGCCGTGCGGAAGCGAAGACCAGATCATCCCCGATAGCGACGGCGAGAATGACGACGATGTCTTTGCCCACGACCTCGGCCAGAAGGACGACGGAGATTCCGTGCCCAAGGCGCTGAACCTTTCTCGGTTTGTATACAACTAAAGCAATTGTTAAACACATGTCGATGCGATACCCACAAACGTTGTGTCATTATTTTGTTCTATCCAATTTGGAAGCAGGCGTTAAGAGTCACGCATCATTGAGGCGCCATGAGCGCGACTCCTCCAGAGGAGTTTCCTGGCCACCCGGTCATGTTCTCCATCTCTCCCGACTCAGATCAGGGGCGGTATTTGATGGTCGCCATTCGAGATAAGGTCACCGAGGCGTACAGGCAGGAAGGCATACAGCATGCATTATCATTTGGCATGTTGGAGGTTACAAGGGACTACAGAACATGAGAAGCATGCCGGAAACTCAAGAGAGACGGGGTAGCCAGGGTTTCTTGTATGCATTGTAATTACTAGGACACCATGGAGTTTTTAAGTAGTGATGATGGGAAAACATGATGGCCGGAAACCCTTTTTTTTTTCTGATGAAACATGTGTCCCACTGCTTGTGATCGGCCTACAGCTTGATGAGTCAATGTTAAAGTCATTACTTACCACAACCTACCTTCGCAGTCATCTCTTATCTATAGGGTTGTCGCTGTGAGGTCGTCCGTCTTTTGAAGGATCTAGCTATACGTTCAATCTCGGCCCGGACCGGGAGCCGCCTAGCGCCCACTCCCACCTTATTACAGCCCTTTCCATATGAGCGTGCAAGGAACCACCAAACAGTACCCGTCGGCCATAAACAGACAGACAGAATTGCAAGTTATCCTGATTGCAAATCCCACACGTCTCATATGATTCACACATCTATATCAGAAGATGGAATCCGGGATGGAAAACTGGCAAGGACGTGGTTTTGCCCAATGATAAAAAAAAGAAGAAGCCCGCCGTGCCTGGGACACTGGGCATGTAACCTGAAGACCTATACCATACACAATGCTCATGATGCGCAAGCAGTCATTCCCTTGCCTTCCTTTACTATGAAAGAGAGAGGAGAAAAAAAGAATTCCAACTCGTTCCATACTTGGAACACTAAAGTGATGACCCCGAGGCAACAGCTGATCCTTCCCCATGTTGATTCCGTTTCTGGGTCTAATGCCTTCATCTTCCAAGGTTTCCGTCTCAAAACCCACGCCACAAATCTTTTGCGTGACCCTCTGAGTCCACGCTTCTGTGTACATCCGTACCAAGCCCAAAATGCGATCCGCGAGCCTCACGAACCATGCGAATCGTGTTCCTTCACCACGGCAGCCGCCACTGCCTCACCACATTGTCGACAGGAAAGGGCTCGTTGTAGAAGAAGTCGTCGTCGCTGTCTTCATCGACTTCGCGCTCCACCGGGGCCGCATCATCCACGATCTACTGACGACGACTGCTTGTGGCACCGACTGGTGAAGGTCCGTGAAGATCTACGTTAAATGTCCAACGTCCTATTACGGTCAGTTCTCATTCGATCGGCTTCATATTGCGGACATACCATTGGCCAGGTTATCTGCAGTGTCTTCAAGCAAGATAATCCTTCGCTTCTTGCAGTATGAAGTCTTGTCCATAATGTCGACTTTCAACTTCTTGTCACAGAGCTCCTGGACGGGCTTCTCAAACATCTCTGACAAGGCCTCGACAGCCATCTCAAGGTCCTTTTGGTTATCTTCAAAAATCTCGGTCAAGTTGTTGCGCGCCAAATAAAATGCGAAGGCGTAGGTCCACTTAAGAGTCTGCCGGCAAGTTTGCAGTGTTTGTGAGGCCTGGTTCAGGTATTGAACCTCAATCCAAGACATGCCCGAGGCTGTCTGAAGCTGGACCATCTTCTTCTCCGTCTTATGGTAAATGTCTTTGTCTAGCTTGGCAGACTGTTCGTGATTGGCGTATCGGTTGTAGTAATGCAGGTAGCGTTCCAGCGATATGCGGGACTTGGCCTGGGCATCACGCGCATCTGTACCACTCTTTTCCTCGAAACGATTGCAGTTGTACCAGCTCGTGCCGTGCTCCGACCATAAGCCCATGCACATCCAGCAGAACTCATGCTTGCACTTTCGGCATGTCATGTGGTTGCAGCCGCCGTTCTTCTCGATTGTCGAGTTGCACTTGGGGCACTCCTTGGTATTGGCCGATATCCAATTTGCAGTCTCCGAATCGTCTGCGCACTTCTTCAGCCATCGCTTAACAAGCTCACAGGGAGCAGGCTGATGGTCAGTTAAAATGCAACCAAAGCAGAAGCGGTGACCGCAACCGCATGCTACTGTGGGAACGATTCTGTCCAAGTCCTTCTTCTTAATGGCGCATTCCACGGCATTTGGGCAGTCGGGTGCAGGGCACCACTTCAGGATCTCCTTGTCCTCCACGTACGTCCGATTTAACAGCTCGTGGTATCGGGAGTTGAGATCGGCTGCAACGAGCAGATCCAAGGACTTTGAATCGATGATGCGGCCGCAGCCCTCGGCCGGACACTGGATACGAGCCGCCTCGCCTTCTTCGCGAATCTTTTGAGTCAAGTATTGGCGGTAGCAGTCTACGCAGTATCGGTGGCCGCACTTAAGAGAGAAGGTCTGGAGGCCCTCCTCGTCTTCGCAGCAAATGTCGCACATGAAACCCGGAATGGCTTCAAGCTTGGGCGGGCCAGCCACGTTCGAGCCAAGACCTGCAGCCTCCAAGACCTTGTTGGGAGCGTCCATGTAATCCTCGATCAAACGTTCTTTGTTCCACCTAAAGTGCCGCAACAATATCGCGACATCCTCCTTGCGGATGTTCAGAATCATGTTGACCTCGTCAATCATGTCGTCCTGTTGACGCTGAATATCCTTTGGTTCGTAGACTTTGAATGAGATGTCGTAGGCCACCTTCTTTTTGTTGTCGGAGTCTTTGATCATGCCCAGGTCCTCGGGCTCGTCTTCGAAGTCATCTTCATCGAAATCTGTGGAGGAATCAAAGACGTCAGTCGGTGGTTTTGAGGCCGGAGAGACTCGGTTGAGCGGTGTATACATACCATCAGGACCAGACATGTCCTCGCCGCTGTCATCCTGCATGATCTCGTCGTCGCTCGAGGGAGCCGACATGAAGTCCTCCTCTGAATCCATGCCGTTGCTCGCGGTGGTGACGGGGGTTGGGGGAGCGTCCTGTCCAGCAGCCGAGGCGATCCTCTTCTTTGTCGCGGTGTCTTGGTTATTGGAGGATATCGTCGCCTCAGCGGCCTTTCTCTTCCGCGTAGTGGGAGGAATGGTGCCGACTGCAGATGGAGGCGAGGGAAGCGTTTCCGAGGGGGCGGAAACGGGTTGAATTGTATAGGCGGGTGAGACACGGATGACGGAGATGGAGAACGAGGATCAGATCCAAACGAGGGGAGAAGGAATGCCTGCGTTGGGCGCCGGTCGCGGTATGGGAGTCACTTGATGGGTGGAGGGGTAGATTGGTAAGTTGCAGGCTGCGATGGCCCAAGGCTGAGGCAACAAACAGGTACAAAGGCTGGGAAGAGCCGGGCAGGTTATACAACGGTGCTCGTAGTATGTGGTCTTGCCGAGAAAGAGCGGGTTCGAGGTCGGGCGAAATCAGTCAGAGCGGTAGGCGGCAATAAGGACCTGGCTCAGTTGCCTGCGGTGTAGGAATGCCGCAAAGATGAGTGCGAGGGCGGTAGTCTAAGGTATGGGTGATGGGTGTGGTGGGCGTGGATATGTGGATGTGAAAGTGGGATTGGAATGCGTTGCGGGAAAGGTGAACGACCTGAGTGAGCAACTGAGCGTGTGGGATGTGGGTGGGATGAATGGGTGGATAAGGTAAGGTATGTAGCGGGAGGGAGTCGGATGGTTTGGTTTGGCAGTCATAGACAGTCAGGACCAGGCAGTGACTTCCTTCCCGCCCAGCGAGTGACTTGTTGGATCCAATGACGGAACTCAGACGTCGGGGGTGTTGGTTGGAAGAATGCACTGGAGGGAAGAAGCCGAGTGACCTCATGAATAGCCGGCGACATCAGCAAATGTCAAGTACCTCAATAGGGCAGGGGACAAACCCCCCGCTGGGCTGGCGCGGGCTTGCACCGTGAACTACCGGTACTTACTGTGTAGGGGCAGGGCCAAGGGGGACGGGAGGACGCTTCCAAAGTCACCCTCACCACACACTCTGGTAGCTCAGCCCTTGCAACTCTTAGTATTAATGTCACTGCACAGGCTGACTGACTCTAGGGAATCGTTTAACATGAACACCATCGACACTACGTTCCAATACCCATCTCCTATGTCCTTGGGATTATGATGGCGGGATCCAGTCCCAAAATGAGTAATGTGAGTGAGTACCTTCCCTAGGTACCCCAAGTACCTCCTTAGAGGTCAGGAGTGAGGGGGGGCATGGTCACAAGGTTAGAGATGCTTCTATTTTGCGCTTCCAGCGCTATCTTTACATCCACGGATACAAGCCTAGGGAAATTGATCAGGCACTGATGAAAGAGGCGGGCTTCAGGCACACGACTCGATAAAGTACCTCAGTCTCTCCAATCCCGCCGGGGAGGAGACCAATTCTCAAACTCCCTGGGGGCCAGATGCAGCCCCGTGCCAGTGTCATTGCAATAGTCGCTGGCCAGTGATTGTGTCTGACGGCGGGCAGGTGACTCCATGGACCTTTGGCACTCACAAGTTGGTCCTTGCCTCTGGGACAGTCCGGAGTTGGGCGATGAGGGACTCAGGAGTAGGCCAGGCATACGAATACCTAGAAGCGAAAGGGTGGTCTTTGGCTTTGGGCTTGATGCATGGCATGACGGTGGACGACTCACAGAGCTGCCCTGAGCGCCACCACCACCCTCGAGAGTGTCACCTAGAGTCAAGACTCAGTGTTTGTCGCTCGATAAGCAGTGCGGAACCTGACGGAACTGCCCCTCGATTTCTCTTAGGTACCTTAGTCATTCATCCTTATCGATAACGACGTCGCATTCTCACGTTATTTGCCCCTGCATTTGTCAGGCGGGAGCGGCCCGGCACCAAGTGGCTCCGATGTCGCCGGTCATCGGGTGCATGTCGGGTGTCCACAAGTGTCCCCGGCTCGGCCAACTTTGGCCCCGAGGTTTCCTTGAGCTTCGGTGTTGCAAGCCTGACAAATGCGATAGTCTCATCATTGTCATCTACCTCAGGTACTCATATCGTGTTCGACATGATAGCTTTCTAAGCAGACGAAAGAAGCATTCGATTTCTTTGTGGACCCCCCCCCCCCCTAGGCCGATACGTGAAACACCATTTCTTCTCGGTGCTGTCAGTCAGGGGTTCGGATTCGGAGACACGTCTTTTGGGTTTGTCTTTGAATTCAAGCTGGTATTTGCGATGCATATTGCATCTTCTTTCAAACTGCAGCTACCTAGTCCAAGTGGCCTTCGAGGTTCTTTTTCTTGTAAATCTTTGCAACATCGCAACTCCGAGTCCATGTCTTCTCAACCCAAGACCTTGTCGGCCAGGGAAACTGTTCGCACTGTCAGCTAGTTCTCATAAGGCGTGTTACGGGTCCTCGAAATCTTACCTGCGGTACCAATGTTATCGGGCTCAACGTGGGCCTCCTTGACCTTTCCGTTCTCGATCACGAGGGTATAGCGCTTGCTGCGGTCGTTGCCGAAGATAGCCTTGCTGTCAAAGTCGACGTCGAACGCTCTGGTGAACTCGCCAGACGGGTCTCCCAGGAATCGAATCTTTCATAATGTTAGCATGCCAACGCTGCCTCGGCGCAAGGCAAGAGGGGAGAGGGTATGGCAACATACTCCAGTCTGGGCGGCGGGGTCCAATTGGTCACCCCAGGCCTTCATGCTACTCGGTCGTCAGTATCAATCGCTTTCTTTCCACAAATCCTTGCTCTGAAGCCTCAATGAGGCTTCCAATCCTCCAAAGGCGTCAAGGTCCCGGAGAGGGAAACCTACACAAAGGGGTCGTTGACGGAGACGACAAAGACGGGTCCGGCCTCCTTGAGCTTCGGGTGGTTGATGTACGAAGGGATGTGGCTCGCGGAGCACGCGGGGGAGAAGGCGGCGGGCACGCCAATGATGAGTCCATTGGTGACCTTGCCAAACTCCTCGGCGAGGTTGACCTTATTACCGGGCGAGTTCTCGACGAGGTCGACCTCGGGCACGGCGTCGCCAACCTTGACGAAGGCGGCGGGCGTCGAGTGGAAGGCACGCGCCGGCACGGCGGAGCGGGTGAGGGCGAGTCTTCTTGCGGCGAAGCGGAAAGCCATTGTTGTGTCTGTGAGTAGCTAGGTACGCGTTTTGAGGAGGAAGCTGATGCGGTGTGAGTGTGGAAAGTTTGGTAGATGCTTAAGCTCAATGACGGGGGCGCGAGGCTGGATAATATGTGTTTGTGTTGGGAGCTTTCCGTTTTCCTGGGGACAAGAGCTTGGGGGGAGCTTTGGTCTTTTCCCCAGACGCTGCCCTGGAGCTGAAAGCTTGAGAGGGGCCGCGCCCACTGCCACTGCCCGCGCCAATTGAGACATTTGCTTGGCTGAGCTCGCAAATTGCCATGACATCAGACCAACGTCCAATGGCAAACGTCCCCCCTGCGTCCGGCCCTCTCCCCCCTGTGAGACAATCATTTTGTACCTACTTACCTAAGGTACTGTATCCGTAGCCAAATTTAGTGAAGTTCTGTGTAGGGAACACTACTGGGTGTGTAATAATACCAAGATGCTAAGAGGCTAAAATCCTTCTGGCGCGGTCGTGCTGGTCCACCGTATTTGTTCACAAGCCCCGGGGCGCTGCAACGCAAACTTGACTTGTCATGCACGCCACCAATAACGTCTGCATCTCGTCAACATCTGCTTCCTTTTTCCGTGATACTTGCTTTTATGGCGCTGTCTCTCAAGGTCCTCGGGTCCTTTTCCCAATCGGCTGGCTTTAGGACTCGGGGGCTTGATAACCACACAATCAGCAAGCACCCTACGCCATTGGAACGTCAATTGACCGTTGAGATCAAAGCCTAATGGGGGGTATCATTCATCATTACGGGCGTTCTACTCGCGGCGTTGCCGCCCAGCTAATACTTCTACCTCTCATAACTACCTTATCCGTTTATCATCGTCCGTTACCGTCTCCGTTCCTCCGAATGCCCTCTATCTCATGCATCGGGAGCCCTCAATTCCTGCCTCAGACTTCCGTCGGCGTCCGGAGGACCTACGTTATACCGTTTTGACTCAAGACTGTTCCCATTGTCAGTAACGCGCAAGTTTTAGAGAGGGTGATCCAAGGTCGCAAACCTCCAAGTTAAGTTGCCAGTGCAAATCGTCTTGAGCGTCGCAGTCACCTCCTGAATCGCGTCCGCATCCGCCAGGTTCTGGTTGATCAATCTTCGCTCGCAGACGTCGAGCTGCTTAACCGCCTTGTCAATCTCTTCTACGACTTCTCTGACAGCACTCTCCAAGTCACTGCCGTCTTTGCCATTCCAGTACCGCACCGGCACCGCGTTGAGAATCCGACCTTTCCGCTGCTCGAATGATTAGTTCCTCCCGCTCACGCGGCACCACCACGACGAATCTGCTTACCAGCTCTTTGTTCAGCGAGAGCAAGTCATTCGTCCTATTTCCAGAAAAGCATCCCGTCAGCTTCTGGACATCTCCATTTCGGGGTATATCAGAGGGGGGAAACTGACAGGCCAATGATAATGTTGACCGACTCCAGGATCATCTTATACGGCTGCGAGTTGACAACGTGCGCCGGCCACTCTGATCCAGAGGCGAACCTACTTTCGTCAGCAGAAACCCTGCTTTCTCAGAGAGATACCCTCATGTTCTTTCTTACTCTACCAAGGCGCACAGAGGGCCAGCGCCCCCTGTCTTCTTGCGAAGCTTCTCATACGATAAAGTCGTCGGCGCGTGTCCGCTCTGGATGTACCGCATCTCTTGCACGGTCGAGTCAATGTACTCGAATAGACTAACCCTTAACCTTCTCCGCTGATCTGCCCACCACCCGAAGAAATCAGTCCTCAGATATCGCTGCTACACCCAGATACGAGAAAAACTGACCTCGGTCGTACTGCTGGCAAATGACTTTGGCAACCGGCTGGAACCCCGCAATGACGGGGTTCGTTGACCCCTCCTTGGGCCCCTCGGAAAGCTGAAGATATTGCGCAATGTAGTCCTTGGCCTTGTTGCGGAAGTCTTTGGCCTTTTCCGCGCTCTTGTACTCGAGGCTTTCGATATGGTCATCGAGTCTGCCCTGCCAGAGCACCATGAGCGTCAAGGTGCCAAGTCTCTCTCTTGTTACATTCGGCCAGAGGCTAACGTTACACACCACTTATCAGCAAGTGCTGGTTTTTTTCTTTCTCCTTTGAACTGTTCTTAAGGATATCTTACCATGACGCCAAGAGAGCCGGATTCGCTTCCAGAACATTAGCCTTGTCTTTCGGTGACGCATCGCTGTAGTATGTCAGCATACCGAAATCATTCCATCTTTATATCGGACAAACTCACCTCTGCTCCAGTAGTTTGCAAATCAACCCCTCAACCTCGGAGGCATGAGTATTCTTCCCAGACGGCCAGTGGCTGACCATCCGGCGCAGGTCCGGGATGACCATGACCAATCCATCGAGCCGACTGGCTAGCTGCGCGCTCTCGGTATGCGCAGCCATATTTGCAAAATGGTATAGTTACCTCGGGAAACTTTGAAGTTGTGCGCAGGATTTAGCAAAAAAGGGGACCGGCTTATCGAGATTTGATTTGATTTGGGTTGGGTTCCTTTTCCGTCCTTCTTTTCTAGAATGTATCCCACGAATGTCACCCTGTCTGGCACTTAGGCTAAAAAGGGCACGCTCTCAAGATTTCTCCCCCTTCTTTTTTCTGCGTTGGCATGTGCGTCTTTCTCTCTGTTTATGATGCGGATAATGGGTACGGATAGGACTTTTTGCTTTGCTGGGTTCCTGGTGTGGAGCATTGCGAGATTAAGTCAATGCTACCCCAAGGGAACTAACTCCCCTATTATGGGAATGCTTTTCAAGGAGAGAAAGAGAGAGAGTGCGACCGATTCAGTGATTATCGGACATCGTTTTCCTATCAGTGAATCATTAGATAGGCAACTTTGTCCTGTCATTCCCATCCCCTTGGTGAAGTTTGTCTGGCAAGCGTCTACGGATTGGGAGGTGGGGGAGAATTTGCGGGTTGGCCCGCGTGGGAAGCGGCTGGGGTGGGCGTGGCGTTGTAAGTGACAGTTGACGTGCTCGAAACAAGCTTAAGTCTCTTCACCGGGCTCGGTAATTTTCGGTGAGAACGGGGGGATAATGATATACATATGTCAATTTGCGAGTGTTCATGTGCCCACCGGGATATTCTATCGAAATCGAGGGTGATGAGTATAGTCTAGGCATTAATGATATCTTGCGACATCCCCAATCGCTCATGTTTTGAAACAAATACTACCATCCATCGACGATACTGACATCCCCCGCCGAATGCAACGCTTCACTTCATGCGGCCTCGCAAGCCGATGCGTGGTCGCCGACAGAAAACGACACTATGATAGTCGCCGACGTTCAAGTTGACCACCTACGGCTATTTGGACACACACCGTCCATTGCCGAAACACTAGCCTACAAACACAACCAACTTGCCTCCTCCAAGTGGCAATGCTGGTGATTCACAGCGAGCACGGCTGTCCATCAGCGTCTAATGTGGTAAGGTGTGTCATGCCACATTCGTCTGTCCATCCCATCTCATCCCATCCTATTTCATCACGAACCGACCCGTCGGCTTCTTTCCGCCGCGTCTTCGACTTGACCCGCCACGTTTGATAATGCGAACCGTTCGACTTGGACTTACCAGTCGTAATCAGAAACACTGAAGTCATGCTGCCACACGCTGATTCATAGCATAGGTTATGGGATCGAAGAAGCCACACAGCGTGGATGAGCTTGATTCCAATCCAAGCACCCGTGATGATGGCAACGATATAACGACTAGGCTGGGCGATAGGCATAGGTCCGATAGGCATCTGACCTCACGCAGTAGCTGTGTAGTCAATCTAACAGAAGGTCTTCAAGACGGCTGATAGGCAAGGTGAACAAGCTCTTGTCGGTCCGTCTGTTTCTGACACTGATATTTCAATGTCAAATCGACAAAGGCATGAGCAAAGCGATGAAGGTCGCTGACGTGACCAGGGAAGGCTTATAGGGGGACTCCCGCTACGAAACGATGATTTGCTTTGCTGATTCCATGCAGCCATCCTCTTCATGCCTCGTCTGCCTCCAGCGATTCTGACGACGTTGGAGATATTGTCGCCATGAGCGCTGCCAGCCACTCGGACTTTTGGGTCCTCAAGTCGGTCGTGGGCACTTATACCATTATACTACCGCGGTGTCTGTCAAGACAGCCCGTCTTGTTTCTAATCACCTGCTTCCGAGCGCTTTGAATCTTCGCCATGGCAAATTACAGTCTCAGAGCTCTCCATCATACGCAATTACTTCAGAGCATGCTGTAGACGAGAACCATAAGCCACCTCAACGCTGAAGCTACGTCCGACCACTGAAAGCCTTCAAGACACAAAATGCAGCTCGTGACCACACCTCGTTGCAGTCTCTTTCTCTTCCAGCTCTCCCGTACCACCCAAATATCGAAAGACCTTGTCAGTATCTACCATATCAGTATCTTAGATGAGAGCTGGCGATGAGCGTGTACGCTGATTGGAGCACCTCAACCCCTGCATCTGCATGCATAGCCTTCGAAGATAAGAAATGGAATATCCACAAACCTTCACTGCAATGTTAGCCCACCCCGAGCTCTTAGACGATTGGGAACTTTGTCAACTCAATCTAATCTTTACACGCAACCTCTTTCAGAAGTGGTTAGAGCTGGGAAGACAACTACACTGCAACGTTGGCCCCCTCCCTCGGGACGTTTTCCCACTTTAGCACCTCAACCCTCACCTCCAGAGCTCGACCTCGAAGGGAACGGGGCCGAAAGCTTTACTGCAATATCAGCTCATCTGTAATTCTCAAGACGATTCATATCTTTTTCAACTCAACTCCTGCATGCGAATCCCCGTCCGAGGTCGTGGGCGGGTGGCGAAAATTTCACTGCAACTTTAGCTCCCCCCGAAGCTCTCAAGACGTTTTTCCACTTTAGCAACTCATCCCTCACGTCTAGAGCCCGACCTCAGAGGTGGCGGGCTAAAGCTTCACTGCAATATTAGCCCACCCCAAGCTCTCGAGAAGATTGCCTACTTTGTCAACTGATTCCCTGAAAACATATTTCCC